TGTTTTAATTTCTAACCGGGGGTGGGAGAGGAACACTTTGTCTTTTTCATGCAGTTGATAAAGAAATTTTTCTTTGATAGGTTATGCCTGATATGATCTTTACATCATTGTTTATTTAGCACTGTTTTTGTCATTATTTGATTAGTTATACCACAATGCTACGCAGCAACATTGATTCTATATGTTACTTCATTATAATACAGGTATGATTTCTAGAGGTTTCTTCGGAAACAGTATATCATTTGCTTGAAGAAGTGTCCTGGTTGGGTTGTATCTGCGATATACCAGGGGCCCCTAGTGGTAAATATGTATGGCACTCACCTTGATAGCAAGAAATCACATTTTAATTCCCGCAGCCAGGGGCACATTTTCAAACAGTTGGATAAGGAACTTTTTTTTATTTGATAGGTTATGCCCGATACGATACTCACATCGCTTTTAATTTATTCGAGCTCTGTTTGAGCTCTGAAACAGAGTGCTACACACAAAAATTAATTATATATATATATATATATATATATAATATAAATATAAATATATATATATTTATTTATATTTATATTTATAATATAAATATAAATATATATATATAAATATTTATTATATTTTATTTATATAATATAAATATATATATATAAATATAATTTCTGATATCTGCATGATACTCCCGGATATCGAAAACACGGGTAGAGATCTTTGACAGTGTGAGGTGTTGTAGATATGACGATATTTACTACTACTACTACTAAGCTGTCCATCTGAAAAGGTGATGACTTGAGGTTGAGATCTAATGGCGTCTTGCTCTGGCTCTCAGGTAGCGTTCCCCACGCTGCTTGTCCACCGAAGTTCCACAGTTATTGACCAATGTGCGCGAAGCCTTTCTGTCCTGCGCAGTGGTTTCCCAGGAAGAAAGATCGCTGCCTGTATTTTTCAGGTGCCGCTTGGTAACATCTTTGTAGCGTAGCAGTTGGCCACATCTGTTTCTTGACGATATTTACAACATTATCAATAATAAATTTGGCAGCCATCTTGAAATCCAATATGGCGGCGCCATCTGACATAATTTCTGATGATTGCATGACACTCCCTGATATTGAAAACATGGGTAATGATCTTCAATCGGCAATGACATGTGCTGTAGATATGAATATAATGGCTAAAATCAAATAATTTGGAGGCCATATTGGATTTCAAGATGGTGGCAATTAGGAGGCGTTATTTTTTGAGGGTTTTTTTTATGATCTTTAGGTGTCATAGTATCACTGTGGAAAGTTTCATGCTTTCTTCCAGAAGTGCACGATTCTACCTGAAATTCAACCTTAGCCGCTCTACTATACTGTTTATATATATAGCAGTTTGTGTTGTACAAAAGCTTGATAAAGTGACCGATTAACGTGTGTTATGTTATACATAGTATTTCTATGTTGTATTAAATATATTCATTTTGTACCTTAAGAAATGGTAAAACAATATTTCATTAAACTGTACACAATAGTAACTATGGGCATTCAATGTTACGAAAATGAGAATGTTGCGATAATACATACACAGCTATTTTTTAAATAGGAATTTGCAGGTTGTTAAGTCTATTTGTACTTATCACATGAGTGAATGGGTGATGTAACTGTGATAGAGCTGATGATGACAGAATCATGCTAATGACTACAGAGACGGTGATAATAAAAAAATTATTGATGGTGAAAATTATGAGCATGTGCAGAAGATAATAATGTAAAATATACTCAATAACGATTATTATTTGTAAAACCGAGGTAATGTTGGTGATAATAATCTTACTAACACGTCGATGATAACGATGACAACATGACCAATATAATTTTTTTTTACCAATAGACAAATTATCATTTTCTATTTTTTTAAATATATTTATCACTGTACCGTACTGTAGATAATAGAATAATTTTAGCAATCAAGATTAAACTATAACAGTCTGTATTGTACATAGAACAATTACTCGAACAATTAACGTATGTTATGTTATCTAGTGTTTCGATAATAATTATACTACTCCGGTAAATATACTAACATCTGATATAATGCCTTGCGTGCTGTTTTCCTATTATGCTACTTCGATAATTCCTTTGAACTTCCACGAACTAGTGGTGGCAGCCTTACTCTATTGCTCAGAAAATGCCTATTTGTGAATCAATTTTGTTGCTGATTGGGAAAACCCAGGCAGTGTTCTTTTTTTGGTTATTCGTGGAAGGCTTCTTATTTTCGTTTCTTAGTTTCACCTAAAATTTTGTAATAAATGAAAACGATAAGCAAGTACATACTTAGTTGGAGAAAAGGATTTCACTTTATCAACTGCAATTCACACCATTGATAAACAATGTTTGTCTGATACGTATTTGTTTCATATCATTATGGCATAATTAATAATAATAATAATAATAATAATAATAATAATAATAATAATAATAATAATAATAATAATAATAATAATGTTACACTTGTATAGAACATAATGCAAGAAAAAGCTTTTATGCACTTCAAATCATAGAAATAAATGT